AGAGGGACTGGAGATGGAGTGTGCTGGGGAGCAATCCCAATGCTCCCAGTGCCACCTTGTACTGTCACCTGCGCCCAGGGAAGGAACTTCCTCAAGGCCAGGCCCTGGCTCCTGGTGGACTAGGTTGTCTGGGGAGTGGCAGAGTGGAAGAGAGTATCCTGAGATTTGAACTTAGTACTTAATAAGCTGGTGAGGGGTTTATAATTTGTGAGCAAGTGTTTGCTTTTGTCATCTCTTTGGTAACATCTTCCTGGTGAAAATAAAAATTACTAAGTGGCTCAGCACCCTTAATGCTTTCTTAGCAGAACCAGATAACCAAGAAATACTATAGAGAGAATCTTGGGAAACGTTCTGAAGAGATGAGATATGCAATTACATCATTTATACATCTGATTTATGTATGTCCATGGAGCCTTTGATATATTTGGGATGCTTTTGCTTATCATTGTTTTAGTTACACCTGCATGATTTAGGCATTAATATCATTAGCTCACAGTGGTCTTACGTCTACTTATCTTACCCAAATCCTTGGTATTATCGTGGTTCAAACCTCATGAATTTGTCTACCAAATATCTTCATAACTCAATCTGAAGTCACTCTAATTCAACATATTAATGTATCCCAAAGTTTTACTACCAGTTAATAAAGCACTAATGTCTCTTTTGTGTCAAAGGCAAATCCCTTCCCATTCTGATACACCAGTTATCAGAGCTCCAGTCAGCTAGACCTCTCAAAGACCTCCTCTACTATGCTGCTCTATTTTCTATAGGCCTTAGTATGATCAATGATGTGCACATCTGGGTGTATAACAAATAAACCAGAAGGTTAATTTTTGCACGCATGCTCATTTAGTTGCAGTATATTGTGAAGCAAACTCTCAAGCACGGTGGTAGTCCTGGCATACAGGCTTGCTGCTTTGTATTTGTATATTCTTACATATTTGTATGTTCTTTCCAAATATCGGCAGTTACTTCAGGTGTCTAATCAAAAGTACTGCTAAAGCGTATTTGCTCTGACTTGCTACTGTGTTTAGAAGTAAGAATCCAAACAGGTAATATTTCAAGAAACAATGACAAATCCTGGATACTGTCTGTCTGTAAATTGTGCAGGAGCCTACTTTAAAGGGGTGATCCTCTTCCTTGGGATTCTGACTAAGGAAAAGGAAAGCAAGGTGATCAGTACTAGTTCCTTGATGTGACTTTTTTTTTTTCTTTCTTGGAAGTTTGGTCTTGTGAAGGTGCGTGTCCACGGCCTTAACTGACTGTTCCTTTCCAAGGAGTCGGTATGGACTGAGAAACGTGGACCTATGTCAACAGTCTGCATGTGGGTTCAGATTCTGGTAAGTAAAGGTAATTTTTAAAAACTCCTGTGCTAGGAAGGACATTCCTGTGAGGCAGAGTACTACATAATAAGGAGGGTTGTTCCTGTAGATTTAGTTATCTTTTTCCAGAGGGTGTTTATTACAGCGCAAATGTCTCTGTTAAAAAAGCTCAGATTAATGTGCTGCAATCAGTTATATAGTGATTTCTAATTCTAAGCCATATGTTTCTCATCTGTGTGGGCTTTGTATATTAAGGATAAAAATGTATGCATTAAATCACTCATACAATCCTTAACTGTGTACTTCAGTGTCCAGGAGTGTGTTTTATCTACCATTTAGTTGTTCATCTTACTGCAGTCTCCATTGATCCTGCGGATGCAAATGTGCGAGAAAAAAACTATCTAGGGCCTCTGGCCACCTTCAATCGTAATCAACATGCACATGTCATTGAAAACCATCATTGCCATGTCTGTGATGTAGATGTGTAAGTATCTTCTCTTTTCCTTCTACTACTCTGTCTTCTTCACTGTTACACTTCACCATTAGTATTAGACTATGAGATTGAAATTGAGCCCATGAAGCTCTATAGCGTTGATTAAACTTCATCCTGTTCAGTTAGTTGGGTAGGTGCCGCTGTCAAATGTGCACATGGTTCTGTGTTTTATTTAATTGCTCACATGTTGAGCGGAGAGGACTGTACTGTTTTGAGTTATCTGGATGTTGGTGTTTGACCTAACAACGTGTAACTTGTGCATGTGTGCTTGTATCTGGCTAGATGCTAATACGGTAGCAGGAAATGTTTGGAGGGCAGACATTAAGATCAAGCTTTGTAGAACCGCTAAGGGGTTTCAAATAAGAAATCAATGATCTCCAAATTAGAAATCATGCAGTGCGTTGAAAGGCAAATTTTGCAGTGTTTGGGATTGTGGTCCAACAATGGCTGATATGTTTGGGTGGTTTTCTCACTACTACCGTCTACTGCTGTATCCCCCTGTATTTGCGTCACTGGAAAGTCATGGTAATGTGCTGGTGCTGCCATGCTAATGCCACCCTTTCTTTGGCAGGAGTGCCAAGTCAAAGCACTGTGGAACTTGCAACAAGTGTGTGTGTGGCTTTGATCACCACTGCAAATGGCTCAACAACTGTGTGGGAGAGAGGAATTACTGGTAAGAGCCTGGCATTGTGACAGGAGTACAATACTGCATCAATAATGTCGCCCCTTCTCTTCTCAAGATTCTCCTCCAGTCTGTACTCAGCCACACAGAACCACTTTTCTTTCAGAACCCAGCTGAATAAAATCAGTCATGAGAAAACTAGATGGAAAATGCAAGCATGATTATGACATTCAAATAACCAGGGATAAAACTCCTACACTTAGAATTTTGTAGCTGAACATCTACAAGTAGAAACAGAGAACATAATCTTATTATTTGGTATTAGGAAAAGCTAATTGGGATGTTAATTGGTGTCCTTAATGCTTCTGAGAGCTGGAGTGGGAATAGAACCATGATTGTGCTGTTCCCGTCTCTGAAACAACCTGCATGCAGATTGCATGCTTTCCCTA